ACTTGGTTTCAGTAATTTCCTAAGCTATAATATAAGCCATTTAACGACTCTACTTTAACGTCCGTAAACAATTACATACACTGTCGCTCGTAAAGTCAAGAAAATTATTGTCTCTGTGATTGTCAGTCCAACTAGAACTGATTCAATGGGAAACAATAATTGCATAGTGGTCGTGTCCGTTGTAAAGCACTGCGACCACATCTCTGTAATCTGAACCTACAGAGAAACACCAGGAATGATTTACCTGACTCCCGGTGGATTCGTTCCACAGAGAGGGGAACCACCGATGATTAACGCCAGTGTTTGCTTATAGAGACTCTTTGCGTGAACCGAACAGTAGCCGACGTTTATGTTTCGAGTTTCTCGTAAGATTTAGCTATTGTATACTTTTTTCCATCCTGGTCAGATGAATGGTTTATTATTTCATTTTCTTGAGGACACCATGTTCATGCTGTTCTTCTTTTTAGTCTCACCTGTTTCACTCAGCCAATGAGAATTTAGATGTTTCCATCTGTCTCTACGATGGTTCTTCACGAAGAAAGAGACAGTTGCTTCTACCTGCGCCAAAGTAACCAATGAGAGAGTCAGAATAATATAGACCCTCCTCTCTGTAGCTGGATTTACATTGCCGCATACGGTGAAATACACGCTTCTTTTTTTTCATAATATAGAAATAAAATGTATATTGGATAAAAATTTTGAAAGTTATATACTTTAAAGAAAAATTTCATGGATTATATATATATAAATATAATCTATAAAATTTTATATATATATATATATATATATATATTTATGGATAAAATAGAAAGTTTAATAATTCAATTTACAATTCTAAAATATTGTATTTATTTGATTGTCTTTTTAGAACGATATAAATTATATTACCAAATGTGCAAACATTATTATAGCTGGTCAACTTATAATAATTCATTGAAACAAAAAATGAAATTATAAAGTAAGGATATATTAAAAATAATAATATAAAAAATGGAATTTCTGAAAATTCAAGAAAGAAGAAATTGTAATGATGCAAATAAGAAGATTTCTGTCCATTCCATTCATGCCATGCGTGCTCTTTTCCATCGAGCTGGCAAGATTTATTTTGAGGCGGGCATGCAGAAGGGACGTGGCCGTACGATCGATTTCCAGACGAAAAATAAAGTGCACGTGCTATTCCTGCGCTGATGCACGTACGGTGTTGACTGGCTGTGCACGGCCAACCTCTCTTTTACGGAGAATATTAAAGCTCGCTTGTGTGCACCGTGTTTGTAAAACATCCTCGTCGACGCAAACATCCCCATTGCTGGCCATTGGCTACTTTTCCCTCTTCCGCTCTTTTTCTCATTTTGCCAGGGATATTCTGAGCCCTGGAGCTCGCATTGAATCACAGGAAGCGACTATACTTTTGTTCTGAATATCGAGCAAAAATAGAATCACCATAAGAATGAATGATAATATGTCTTCTAATATTTTATTTAGAATTATGATAAATTGGAAGAATACGATGATTAATTAATTACAAGGAATTAGAATATTGTGGATATTAAAATTTTATAATTAATTGTATGCAAAATCTATTAATCACACATAAAATATAAATTATAGAAATATAATTACATTTGATTCTTTTTTTTTTTTTTGGAATAGATGATATGATGAAAGGTAAATAATATTCTTCTGACAATATTAGACGATAAATAATAGAGATTTATTTTTGATTTTCCATCTAATTACAGGAGCTGCCACGTCGTCGTGCGTTCGTCTTTGGAATAGCTCACAATTAGTCAATCAAACTAAGTACTTAGGCTTAGATATGTACACTGATGAATAGTCTTCCAGAGAAATTGTTTTTTTTTTTTTTTCTTCTTCTTACTATTGCAACCTACATATTCAGATACACAT